TTACTGACTGTTAAGATTTTTGCTGCCGCCCATTTCATTATGTTTATCTTTCTCCCCCCCACCCCGCCCCGCAAGTATCTAGTATAATATTTTATAATGCAAGACAACCAAAAACTATCATGTTCAATTGAATAAATTTTTTTCTCTAGAATGTTCTAAAAAGATTTAATTGAGCAAAATCATTTTCTTCCTTAAGTTCATGGGGGTGAGATAAGAAATATTTTTACACATCTTACTCCCGAGGTACTAAAATCTAATTTGGAAATCACACGATCTACCCCAGGACACAATGTGTCCAGGCTATTTTGGAAACATCTCACATCTGTCTCCTTGAATTCCTCCTGTCACATCATGGAACTGTCAACTGAGAAGGCCAGTGAATCACTAAAAGGTGTTTAAAAGATTGAAATTAATTCAATGGGGGCAAACCAGCTGAAAACAGCATTTCCGATATCCTGGAATTTTCTTTTTCCATTTTAAAGGGATTGGGAGCTTTTAAAAAGCAATTTAAAAATCATTTATGGTTGAAATTACCAGAGCAATGCGACATAAAATGAACATTTAGAAGAAGTTCCTAAAAGTGTTACTATAAACGTATCCAATGCTCTAACACTCTTAAGCTAGCTAAGGCCAGAAATAAAAAGTGCTGCCAAATGAGATTGACATAATCAAGTTTGTGCCTTGGTTCCCACCCTCCCCAACTATCCAGCTTGCAAAAGAGTTCCCCTTTGTGTGCCTGGAGAGTGAAAGCCAATCAATTTATAACATCAAAGGATTCAAATTCCTGAGCAACAGGGATCCATCTGCAATGCAAGGCAACTGTACCCAGGTAGCACCAAAATGTTGCCTCTTCCAAAAGTTTTCATGAAGCAAACATAAGACACCAGGTGATCAACAGAGAGACCACAGACACAATCCCATCAACCTGCGTTTACCTGAGCCCCTGTGCTCACCTGGGGCCACTGAGGAGGCGGGACCTTCGGCCAAATTAGAAAAGATTAAAAGTCCTCACTTTCAACTACCAACGCTTTTCTTTTAGCATCTAAAAGGCATGCTTCTGGACTTTTTGAAACTCTTATGAAACTCAGAAATTTCATAGATGCTTTTCTTTTATAGAATAGCCTCTTGTTTTCTCAAAGGACAGACGAGGAGGAAAAGAGGAGCAACATATTGTACACATAGGATTGTGCAAAAAAAAGGTACTAAGATGCTGGAGGGGGCAATTCAGAAAGGGGAATAGGAAATCACGAATCTCTGAATTAGTAGGTACTCTTTATTTTACAAACAGCATTCTAACTTGGGAAGGATGCCCCTAAGGTAGGGATGCGTCTGTTCTCTTTTTCTAGGCTCCCCAAAGCACAAAGTCTGCAACTCAAAGATAACTGTGTCATCCTGATTTAGCCACAGGACACACACCACAGTGATGAGTATTTAAATAATACACAGTGAGGAAGCACATATATACACTATTTCTATGGATGAACTATCACAGTGCATACTACTATTTTACAAAATGTTTGCTCCTATTTTTTCTTCTTCAATGGTCAGTGTTTGTGTGTATTATATATAAACACGGGTATACTATATAAAATATACAGAATAAACATTAATTTTGCTATTAGAAGTGAAACATATAATGTTTAATTTAAACTGATTGTGATCATTGTACACACTATGCTTCACAGATGAAAGAAAAAGCAATAGCAATTCTGAATAATTGCTTATTTTATTTCACTCACTAATTTATATGGTGGTCACTACCTGAAACTCCAAAGTGTTATCATGAAATAGAGGTTTCTATTCAGTAGGCATTCACAACTGGCTCTCAGGAAATTCCAAAAGAATTCCCCAATATTTTAATACTAGAGGCCCAATGCACGAAATTCGTGCAAGGGTAGGCCCACAACCCTCACGACCCCAGCTGCCTTGGCCCTTGCAGCCCCGGCTGCCTCTAGGCCCCACCCCCAGCCCACTGGTCCTTCTGCCATCCGGTCTAATTAGCATATTAGCTCTTTATTATATAGGACTAGAGGCCCAATGCACAAAATTCGTGCAAGGGGCTTGGCCCCCGCTGTTGCGGCGGCTGCCTCTGCCTCAGCCCTCGCAGTCTCGGCTTTGTCCAGAAGGTCGTCTGGAAGGACATCCGGTCTAATTAGCCTATTACGCTTTTATTATATAGGATTCACATCTGGACACTGCAGCATGCTGAAATAGGCACAGAGATCCCAAAGGGACCATTCTGAAGGATAGCTGCAGCATGCTGAAATAGGCACAGAGATCCCAAAGGGACCATTTTGAAGGATAGCACAGGTTTGGCCTCCAGTATGTTTTTAAAAAACACACTCTTCCCAGCATATTCGATTCAAAATATCAGTCCATCACCATACTGTCACCCATACTTTAAAATTCTAAGGTCTTCAAAACTGACTTTAAGGGAGAAAAATGAACATATCCCTCAACATGTCAGAAAACTCTCATCCGGTTCCCATGATGCACGCACTGTAATGAGTCGTGTAGAGAAGCCACAGGAAGGGCCGCCAGGGCACTGAGCGAGGAGCAGTGAGCAGAGGGACCCGAGAGCCGCAGTGGATGGGGAGGACTGCACATCTCAGCAGACTCTGAGCTCTCCACAGGCCCTTCCTGACACCAGCACTCCACGAGCGATGGGGCTAGGGACACAACCATCTAAATTTCAGTGGTGAGAAACTGCTAAGGAACTCACAGAGCTTGAATATGATGGAATAGCACACCTACTACTCAAAAAGCCCGAATGTCCTGATATGGACAGTTCCACAAAATATATATTTAAGTGAAAAAAAGCAAAGCATTTATAAAACAATCTAATGTAATTTTTTTGTAGTTTTAACTTTTTAAAAAATATATTTTCATTGATTTCAGAGAGGAAGGGAGAGGGAGAGAGAGATAGAAACATCAATGATGAGAGAGAATCATTGACTGGCTGTCACCTGCACACGCCCTACTGGGGATCAAGCCTGCAACCCTGGCATATGCCCTGACGGGGAATTGAACTGTGATCTCCTGGTTCATAGGTCGACGCTTTACCACTGAGCCACTGGGCTGTTTTAAGTTTTTATTGTGGAAAATTTTAAACATATAAAATTTGAAAGAACACAACAATGAACCCTCATGTACCCCCCTTTAATGATTACCAGATTACCAGCTTAGGGGCAATTTTGTTTCTTTTTTTTTAACCCACCCCAATTATTCTGGAGAAAAGTCCATACTGAATATTATTTATATCAGTTTATGTTATGTTATGTTATGTTACATATTATACCATTCTATATAGTAGTATATTAGTATATCTCTAAAAAGTAGAGACTTGTTAATAAGATCATTATCATAAAATTTGGATATATTTTATTTTTTGTAAAGGAATTTACACTAGTATTTTATCATTGTGACAAACTTTTTAAAGACTTTTGAGAAATGTATACAACCATACATCCACACTAAACATTACCATCTACCGAGAAAGTTTCTCCAGGCCCTTTTACAGTAAAAAATCGGGTATATTTTAAAATTTATTATAGATGTGGGTATATGCACAAAATGTTTTTGAAAGAAAACAACTTTAAGAAAAGAAGTAGTGGTCGTCATTGGGAAAAGAATTAGAGTGGGAGCAGAGGAGACTTTACTGTTCATTAAATAACTTCCAGTAAAATTTAAAATTGAACTACCACAGAGAGCAGCCACGTCTGCATGAGCAGGGAGGGGTGCGAGGGAGATGTGTGAAAATAGGAGGTCGAGTTAGGGTATGTGTGAGATACTCGTTATCTCTATAGATTCAAACACCAGCAGGCGACAGTGCCATCAGCTAGAGGATATGAATTCTCTCAATGGATGAAAAGTAATAGAGTTGTGAACTCAGTAACATTACCAAGCATAATTATGTTCCCAATAATAGCAGGGCTAGACATTTTCAAGATGAAATAGACTCACCTCAACCTCCCCACTGCCATTACCAGCTACAGCAGGCTGATGAAATCCATCACTTAAAGTACTGTGATTTTTAAAGGGCATTTCAAAAACTTTTTTTAAACAAGTTAACGTCTTAACTTTCCCCTTCCCTTTTCCTTATCTGTAGTTTCTCTGCCTTATAGGATGGGAAAATGTTACTTGCTTCCCTGGTGGTTCTATCTATCACACACATAGGGACCCACCAGGGTGGCTGCAAGGTTATGTTAAGAAATACGCCTTTGCGAGTGCTTGTGTACTCTGACTTCAGGTACAACAACGTTCTCCACATCTGTTAGTTTTATGATCAGTATAGTGGAGGACTATGGAAAACTGAGGTTAAAAGTAGCCAACTTTTAGGAACCTGTTTATTTCTGTCACAATTTCGACTCCTCTGACAAGCCTGAAGACGTCATTGATATGGACAAAAGTCAATTAGACTAGCTAAAATCCTAAACTGCTGAACATATTTTAAAAGAAACATCACTTTCTCATTTTCAAATATCACTTAAACAAGGCTAATAAAATGTTCTCCAGTAAAAGTCAAAAGGGAGACGGTCTTTTAATAACCGGACTATTAACTTTTCATTAGCTTGAACATAAATACGTTCTGCTGAGAACTTCAAAATCGCTGGTTCTCTTAACTGGGTTATATCTTGTCCCCAGAAACTGTATTTCTTTTATTATTTTGCTTAACAAAACCCAATATTTCTAGACAGTATAAAGAAATAGTTCACCTAAGCACTGGCAGCACAGTTTATAAACAGAGGATGTTTTACTGTACCTACCATCAAGGACCTATTTCTTTTACAAAACTGCTTCCCAGAAAGAACAACTTAGGTATGAATCAAAATAAAACTGTTAAAGGATATCTTTGCCACACAAATTGCCCAGTTTTACCCCCAAAGATCATGTTCCTCTTGCCACAAATGGATTTTTTGAGTCAGTCTAGAGATGAATTCCATCAATAACTGAAAACACCAAAAGCAAGGGCCCCCTCCCGACACCTTTCCCAGGGGTACCTGCTTCGTCCGGGGAGCTGGGCGAGGCGCTGTCATGGGACAGTGTGGTCCAGCTGGACTCCTCGTCGCTGGGCGCCAGGTTCTGGATCCGGTGCAGGGCACAGTCCGTTTTGGCCCCTGTTTTCGGATGATCCTTCTTGGTCTCGGGGCTGGATGACACTGTGGCTACTGGGCCATCTTCGGGGCTGCACTGGGACTTGTTTGGTTTCTGCAGCAGCATGTCACCATTCCCAATGACGGTGGAGGCCTGGCCCTGGCCCGCCTGCGACTTCTCCTCCACGACCCCATGCTGGCTGCCCGCGTCCGGCTCGAGGTCTCTGGTTGAGGTTTCCAGGTCTGCATAGTAATTGAGGAAGCTCTTGGTTCTCCTGGGCTGGGAGGGTAAAATTTCACACCCCGGGGAATCCTGCGGCTGGGGCTCTTTGCCTTCTAACTTCTCAGAAGTTATGTTGATGACGGCAGTGGGACTGACGTTTTTGTTGGGGTCCTGCTGTCCCTGCTCTGCAGCCTTCCGGAGCTGGTTCTCCCCGTTTTTCACCAGCTTGCTGTTGGCCGAGCCATTTCCCAGCAGAGGCTGTGCGGCAGGGTCGGAGAGGCCCATGGCTGCCTGGATGTTAGTTAGTGCATATTTTTTCCTGCATTTGGGGGGTGTGCTGTTCTTGGCTTCCGTGTGCTTGATTTCGGCATTCAACTGTTCATTGTGGGAGGAACGGAGATTAAGGGTATTCGGTGGTGTGACCGGGCTGTTCCGATGCGTGACATCTGAGGTTCCGCTGCTGGCCATAAACACCGCCAGAGTGTCTACACCCGCGGCAGCTGGAAAACAAAGGGAACGGGCGTTAGCTGCCTGACAGGATGAAACCACTTAGCATACAGAGCGAGCAAACATTTTTATGCAGAAATTTGAGAGAATGAAGGCATCTGTCTGTTGCACATGTTCTTGTAAAATTGACCCATTTTCCTCTTTATTGTCATCATTTGCTTCTATATCAAATAGGAGCAAATGAAAGGCTGACCGTGGGCTCCCAAAAGCCAATGTACAGAAGAGCCAAGAGGTCTGAGGGTCCAAGTTTTACCTAAAATTAAAAAGTGTCTCTCTTTTGAATTCATATGGGAGCATTCAGATGGCTTCATTTTCCACAACCTTGAAAATGGCCCCCTTTCTAAACATTTACACCACATTTCTATCCCGTTGTTCCCTCAGGCAACAAAAAAACTGCTCAAAATCCCCTGGGGCCCAGCAAGTGTGGCCCAATGGTTGAGTGTTGACCTATGAACCAGGAGGTCATGGTTCGATTCCCAACCAGGGCACATGCCCGAGTTGTGGACTGGATCCCCAGTAGGGGGCATGCAGGAGGCAGTCAATTAATGATTCTCTCTCATTGTTGATGTTTCTATCGCTCTCTCTCTCCTTCTCCCTCTCTGAAATCAATAAAAAATACGTTTTAAAATCCTCTGAGGCTCCAGCTTTCTTAATTAACCTGAACGGTCCCTGTTCAATGATGCACTATACATCCAAGGTAATTTTTCTCAATCGTGTTCAGAATGCCTAGAAAAATCACACCTCCATTAGAGTGTTTTGCTAATGTCTTTGTAAACATTTCTGACTTGGGCTTAGTGTTTGTACTAAACAGAAATGTTGGTGAAATGCCTTAATTGCTCAAGAAACACACACACACACACACACACAATTACTAATAATGTAGCATTGAGCCCTTCGGCCTTCGCTTCAAGACGTGGAGCCCCAAAGGCGCCTGACTACGTTCCACTGAATTAAACTCCAGACTCAGCTGCTTGCAGCACCAGGTGCCCTTGCAGAACGCCTAGGCAACTATCTGACAGTTGCATTTATCTCGAATATTGTTCACACCATCAGTGATTTATTCCATGTGTCTCTTGCTAGGAAGAAAGAACAGTTTCTCAGACTAGAAGGGAATAAAATTCATCAGCGAGAATTCCTGAGGTTTCACATTTCTCAGCCTGTGAGGAATGACTTCTTTCTTATCTGATCCTCTGCCCTCCACAGAGACCTCAGCGAGTTCTCCACCGCAGTGGGTGAGCCGAAGCACAGCTCCTAACATTCCTAAAATTGCACTGTGACAACTCCCTCATCCTCCCCCAGGCACAACAGGGACCTCCACAGGAGAGGAAGGCAAGAATGTTCCCTTCAGGAGCTGAGAGGCATCTCTTTCTATCGCCAAGTACACGGGATGGGCTGTTCTAGACAAGGATCCCCCACTCATCTAGAGTCTGCATGCTTCTAGGAAACTAGGCAACGTCTACACAGCCTAGGCAGTGTCCACTTCTACAACAGAATGACCGTGTAGCCCACAGAGACAGTTAAGGGCTGTAGTCCAAAGTGACCCACCCTGGGGCCCCATTCTGCAGAATTACTATTTAGGAGAATTTCTGCTCACCCAGCACCCACCTCAGCACTGGGGCTTCATGTCACAGGAACAGAGAATCGAGTGGGTTTCTCCCTTTTAACAATACTTTGAGACTAAATTTAAAATAATAATAATAATACTGTTTGGGCTGCTACTACCATTTTATGGAAAACATATGTCTCCATTTCTAATTCAACCTCACTCAGGTGTAGCATTTGTTACGAGAAGAGCCCATCTTGAACCCACATGAAGTTTTCCCTGAGACACACACCCACCACGCAGACACACAAGGGAGAGTTACTTCTAGACTCTCGGTATTTAGATTGACGTTATTATGAGAAAGTTGGAAATCTTCTGGCATTTAAAAAGGCATGGCAAGAAATTTCATAAGGCTATTTTATGCCAGGTTCTACATTCCAGCAGTGTTATTAGGGAGAAATTTTTGTTTATAACCATAAACATTTTCCGAAAGAACACCATCAACATTTCCAGGTGATTTAAAACCGAAGTCACTTTCATGTCCTGGGTGTGACAGGTAAACACTTTTAGCCACGTTCGCATTAGCCCTTGGAGCCCATCACCCTCCCTACGGCCTTGTAACCCTTCTGCTCGCTAGAAATCACAGGGGGTTTTCGGAGGGTTAAGTTAGAACAACAGGACCATCCTACGCAAACGGCTCTGTATATGTTGTTTTTATAGATCAAACCCTGAACACTGTGAGTGTGCCTTAGATGTGAAATGATGGTGTCATCTGATCTAGCACTAAGGCAGCCCAGGGAATTCTATGCAGTTACAGTGTCTCCAGGGGATGACATATCTGCAAGGCAGTCATTTGGGTTCAAAAGGGTCATGAAGTAGGTAGAGGTTAGCAAAGCCCTAGAAAGAGCCAGGCTGCAAGAGAAAGGCCCCCAAAAGTGACAGGCAGTGGCCTGAGCATAAGAACACAGACCTTGGGGTCAGAGAGACAGGCTCAAGCCCTGTCCATGATTCTCACCCATTGAGTAATCTAGGACACCAGACCTTTAGTTTCCTTGTCTGAAAAATGGGAACAATAGTACCAGGTTGCGGTGAGAAATGCCCGCAGAAAGCTTAGCATAGGACGTAGCAATAAATGTGAGCAACCCTCACCCCTTTTATTCAAGGGACAGAGCCCAGGGCTGCCTACCAAGGCCCCAAAATTAACCTTCCTATTTGATGTGAGTGATCGAAATGGTCTTATTACAGAGATACACAAAGAGTAAGTAGACTAATAGGAAAGGATAAAGAAATTGGGTCTAGAAGGGTTTTATTATGAAAACAAAAAACATTCCTCGGGCTTAAAAGGAAGGATGTTTGTGTTTCTTTTTTTTTTTTCTCCCCAAATACATTTATATTCATTTTGGAGAGGAAGGGAGAGGGAGAGAGAGATAGAAACATCAGTGATGAGAGAGAATCATTGATTGGCTGCCTCCTGCGCGGCTCCTACTGGGGATCGAGCCTGCAATCTGGACATACTAGTATGCCCTGAATGAGAATCGAACCAGGACCTCCTGGTTCAGAGGTCGATGCTCAACCATTGAGCCACACCAGCTGGGCGATGTGTTTCTTTTTTTAAAGGAAAGAAAATCTTACCATGTCTCTTTAAACCTTCTACTATTTGGCTGTTTTCTTTGAAGTAAAAAAGGCTAAGAATAAAGCCAAACTCCTTAACATAACAGACAAGTTACTTCAACTCCCCATTTCTAACGCAGATAATAGTACCTACACCTCAGTGAGCTTCAATTGGGGACTGAGAGAGAAGACTGTGGAGCATTTAGCCCAGTGCCTGGCATCTATAAGAGCTCGGTCCCTATAGGGATCACTCTTATTTCACAGCTCCCTCCTTCCCCGTACACTTTGTCTCTGGCCACCATACCCCAGGCAAGCATTTATTGAGCGCCTTCTTCCTGCCAGGCACTGTGCTGGGAATGGGGAAATCAAGGCACCAACGTGCTTTCAGCCTGTGGAAGACAAACACACAATAAAGTGATAGAGATCAACTAGGTGGGTGTGGAGGAAGGTACAAAGGAGGAAGTTGTCGTCCCACCTTAGGTTGGAGAGGATCTGAAGGTAAGAGAGGGCAGGTTACCATCGATGTCATCTGAGCAAATCAAGACATGAAAGAAGAGCTGGTAAAGCGGGAGGTGGAGGGATCAGGCAGAGTCCGACAAGACATGCTCCAAGAGTGTGGACTTGACCCCAAGGCAGAGAGGAGCAAGCACTTCAACAGCAGCCTTTTAAAAAGCCAGCAGATTTCCAACTTCCTCACAACAGTGTCACTCTAAATACCCAAGAACAGCAGTTCTCAAGCTGTGGGCCGCGACCCCTTTGGCGGTCGAACAACCCTTTCACAGGGGTCACCTAAGACCATCCTGCATATCAGATATTTACATTACGATTCATAACAGTAGCAACATTACAGTTATGAAGTAGCAATGAAAATAATTTTATGGTTGGGTCACAACATGAGGAACTGTATTTAAAGGGCCAGAAGGTTGAGAACCCCTGCCCAAGAAGCATGAATCTAAAGCTGAAGTGCGTGCATGTGTGCGTGCGTGTGTGGTATTCCCTTACGTGGTGGGGGAAAGCCATTTTCCCTCCAGCACATTTTCCAAGGCATTAAAGAAGCAATGTAAACCAGGCAATTACACCATCAGTGGTCATCAGAGAAAGAGTAGAAAGAGGTAGACAGAGGGTGTCTCCCTAGCCAAAGAGGTAGGCCGGGCCCACGTTCCTGCTCCGCTATCTGGTGTTAGAGACTGACTACCACTGGCTGAGTAGGAGAGAGCTCAGACATGGAAACACTGGAAGGCTTTCACAGTTCATCCAGACACAGGGAGAGGACACGGTGGGCCAGGCAGACTTGGGTCTGGGGGAAGTTTCCTCTCACACTGCACAGTGCCGGCTCTGATCACTCCTCCATGACTAGGGCAGAGAGATGAAATCTCCGTTAGCACCTGGACTGGTGAGGACTAAAAAGCACCAGGTGCACTGGGTGATGATAAGGACTCTGGTGGCCTCTCTCAGATCGGCGTCAGGAGAATGGGCAGAGGTTGCCTCTAAGAACTTCACTGTGAACAAAGCAGGGGAGAGGGAAGAGCAGTCAGAGCAGCCACCATTGTGGGAAGAAGTTTGTGTTCTAAAGGAGAGTCTTAGCCATGTTTTATTGTTCACAGGCCAGAAAAGCAGAGGCCAGTAGAGAGGGGGAAAGCGGAACACAAAAGAGGGACAGACCAAGAAGGAAGGGTCCAGGTGAGGAGAGGAGAGGAGGGACCACGGCAGATGTGGAAGAGTCGGCCTTGCCCAGGACAAGGGCCACTTTTTCACGTGAGAAGGAAGGTGAGGGATAAGGATGGGGACAGGCGCGATGTCACACGGAGGAAAAGCAAAACTGATGGCCTCAATTTTCTC